GTTAACAAAGCACCAAAGTCAGGGAACTGTCTAGTAGTTAACAAAGCACCAAAGTCAGGGAACCGTATAGTAGTTATCAGAGCACCAAAGTCAGGGAACAGTCTAGTAGTTAACAGAGCACCAAAGTCAGGGAACTGTCTTGTAGTTAACAGAGCACCAAAGTCAGGGAACAGTCTAGTAGTTAACAAAGCACCAAAGTCAGGGAACTGTCTAGTAGTTAACAGAGCACCAAAGTCAGGGAACTGTCTATTAGTTAACCGGGCACCAAAGTCAGGAAACAGTCTAGTAGTTAACTATGTCTTCAGTGACGTATCTAGTGACGTATCTACTACTAATTCAACAACTTTTTTCTTCAGTCTCACTGAAGATTGGGTTTCTATCTATATTGTCTTGTAATTTTACCGAATTACAGCGCTAAAATTGGAGGTTCGATTCCCCCACGGTGGATACAGCAGATAGTCCAATATGGCTTTGCTCTAAAAATAAATAAATCTATCTATATTAAACGTGTGACCAAATGATAAAAACTCAAATTCGTTACCCTGATCCATACTATAATCAAGTCTAATGTGGCTTTGCTCTAAAAACAAATAAATCTATCTATATTAAACGTGTGACCCAAATGATAAAAACTCAAATTCGTTACCCTGATCCTTACTATAATCAAGTCTAATGTGGCTTTGCTCTAAAAATAAATAAATCTATCTATATTAAACGTGTTACCCAAATGATAAAAACTCAAATTCGTTACCCTGATCCTTACTATAATCAAGTCCATTAACTAACCGGGCACTAAAGTGATAACGGTAAGTGAATTAATTAAGTGTATTAATAATTAGAACAGAATTAATTATATTTTCCTTTTATATTCCACTATGTAATAATGTAATAATCTGCTTATCCATCTTCTTAGGTTATCAACTGGAAAGGTCCTACTCTGAACTGGCAACAAACCCTCGTCTATGTACATCCTTAGCTTCTCAACCCGATAACATTTGTCAGGGTCCTGACAGGAAGGCTCAGCTAGTTCCTACTGATGATAAACCTTATGATCACGGCTATGAAAAATTAAAATGTGATAAGTGTGCGGATAAACAGAGAAATAGATCTCTCCAGTCGTGCCAGAACATGAGTAAAACACACGAGAGCAGACACTGTACTGTGGCGCCCTCTTTAGCTTGTGATAACGAAGATTGCGAGGAACATTTTAACCATCTGTCCGGTTCGTGCTCTAAAGAAACACCTATTGATCTTTCAGACGATGATGTTGTTTCGTACGGATTTCCACCGCAAGGGGGCCGGGGGTTCATGGTTGGATTCGCTCAAAGTCTTGGTGATCCTCATCTTTCCGAAACCTGTAATCATGCTAATAATGTTCGAAAGGTCGGAAAATACCCTTCACCCGAGGAAGTCCCTGAAAGGTTTAGTGAAAACGATGAAAGGCAACTATCTGTATTGGCTATTGTATGAAAGAAAAAGCAAACACTGATTTATAAGAGTCTGCCTTAACAAGTAATGTCAGTATTCTGTCTACAGAAACACATTATATATATATATATATATTTAGTTAATTCCTACAAATCCAACTTGTATTTCAATTATCAAGTATAAGCTCGAAGTGTTCGTAAATGCAGAAAATGTACAAAAAATTTATAAGAATAAGTGGTGCTCATATCAGTTTCGTCTTTTTTTTAGACTCTATTTTTGATCAACTTAGATAAATAACTGATCAAGAAACACTATCGTCCCTAAAATACTATCGTCCCTAAAACACTATCGTCCCTAAAATACTATCGTCCCTAAAACACTATCGTCCCTAAAATACTATCGTCTCTAAAACACTATCGTCTCTAAAACACTATCGTCCCTAAAATACTATCGTCTCTAAAACACTATCGTCCATATCTTCACCTGACTATATTTTAGGGACGATAGTGTTTTAGAGACGATAGTATTTTAGGGACGATAGTGTTTTAGAGACGATAGTATTTTAGGGACGATAGTGTTTTAGAAAATTTTTCACAATACTATCGTCCCTAAAACACTATCGTCCCTAAAATACTATCGCCCCTAAAATACTATCGTCTCTAAAACACTATCGTCCCTAAAATACTATCGTCCCTAAAATACTATCGTCTCTAAAACACTATCGTCCCTAAAATATTAACGTCCCTAAAATATAGTCCGGTGAAGAAAACTTTTGAAAACTAATCAATTCTTGCAAATTTATTCGTACTTAAACGAAATAAAATGTTAGCCCAGTGTTAATATCTATGATGACCTCCACCACATTTATTTTACAAACCAATACTTCTGTTGCGAAATAATTCATAAATCGCTATTCCACAGAAACACGAAGTTTAAGAAAAAAAAATTAATTAATTCGTAATTGGTGCCAAGAATGATGACGAAAGAGATTTTGAGATCATAGTGTTTCTTTATTGAGATTTTCATAAATCATTTCGATAAAATGTAGAAAACAGGCAATATGGTATGCTCTGATTTTTTTAATAAAACATAAACTGAATACATTTGAAGAGTATGCTGTTTTTTTTTTAAATGTTTTCCCCAGATTATTTTTCCATTGACAAATGTTTTCAAAAATTTCTGCTCGTTAGAGTAAGATTTTTAAGAAATACCTATTCGAAAACATTAATAAAAAAAATAGTTGATGATTCAATAACAGATGGAGCCAGCGTCTACCAGATGCGCGAAAGGGATTGATGCAGGATACTAATTTCAAACCCACAGTAATGAATTGTTTATTTTACGAGTCAAGAGTTATTCACTGTGCCCCCCCCCCAGTGGCACGGCGGTATGTCTGCGGACATTCAACGCTAGAATCCGGGTTTCGATACCCGTGGTGGGCAGAGCACAGATAGCCCATTATGTTGCTTTGTGCTTAACTTCAAACAAATAAATTATTCAACGCTGTGTTTCAGTTTAAAATAGCCTAACTTGCGCGAAAAAAAAAGCTACTCCTGTAATCTGAGTGCTGCAATGTGTCGCCTCTGATTTCAGATATTAAGCATCTTGCTAACGGACTATGTGTCGCCTTTGTTTTCAAATATTGAGCATTTTGCTAGCGGCCAAAACAACGTATTTTCAATGAAAGATTTGATTTTTGATTTGGCTGTTGTTAAGCACAAAGCTACACGATGTGCTATCTGTACTCTGCCAACCTCGGGTATCGAAACCCGAATTTTAGCGTCGTAAGCCCACAGACTTAGCGTTGAGCCATTGGCGGGGAGGGCATCTAATACGAAATTTAGTGTTTTTATTTAGTTTATTGTTTTTGACCAAGTTATACACTTCGATTTATATATATTAAAGTTTATTTTGTATGGAACTCTATAAAATCATACAAAACGAGTCTAACTAAACAGTGGTAAACTGAAGATTAAATAATATCGTTGACATTTAAAATTTTGTATAACAAGAATCACAGTTCAAACAAGTCGAGTATATGTTACGTTAGTTGTATCTCAGCATCATACAGATGTCTCACTACACAAGATAAAAAATGTTTAAACCGTCTAGGAAAGAGAAACTAGTTTAGTAACGACCTTTTGATGAGCTGCTTTTCGCCATATTTCATATTAAACCTAACGAAAACAATTGCTCGAAATGTCATTGTTAAATAAAATAACAATTTGTCTTTCGATCTAAAAATATACTTCGAAGTCATGCAGACTACTATTTAATAAGCATATTGAAGAGTGGCGCCCTCTAAGCGCACCAAAACAAAATAAAAGCTATAGGTAAAGGAAGGATAATCATGTGTTTTTTTCTGATTCCCTATTTTAAGATAATATTTAATCTGCTTCACCCAATGTATTATCTAGGATACAACAGCTTGTAGGCTGACCTTTCTTAAACACTTTGACCTTAGACTCTATGAATTTGATTGGTGGAAGCTACTTAATTAAAAGCCAAAGTATTCCAATGATATTTTGCTTGGTACGTACTAATTCACCCAAGTGGGATCGACTGTAAGTTTACTGTCTTGCATCGTTAAAATCCGGTGTTCGATTTCCCACGGTGGCCAAATTGCAGATAACCTACCGTGTAGTTTTGCGCTAAATTTCATCAAAGAAACAACCCAAATACTGTAAATCCACTTTTTTCAGCGGTTAACGAGCAAAAGCGTTATTACCCTGCGTTACCGCCATCTACAATTACAAAGGAACAACTTAGGTTACCAAATCTTCATTTTTTTAAATTTTTTTTTCATGTAAACGTGCTATCTCATATTCTGACAAGCAGTTTAAAATTCAGTAATTAATTTAAAACTGACACTAACTGATGAGATAAAATTTAAAACTAATATTATTTTAAGTTGTCGTCATGATTAACGCATGAAAACAACAAGCATTAGACTTTTGTAATCTGCTTTTTAACAGTCTCTAATATATTTTTATTTGATTTATAGCTCACTAGATGGCAGCACATTTTATTCATAAGTATAGTTGATGTCATCCCCAAGAAGGAATGGTATTATATCTTATTATATATATATATATATTTGTATTTCTATTACCAACGCGGAATACTAAACGAAACGTGAAACTTTATTAACCACTTTATTAGGACGCTATTTTTGTTTTGTTTTTAAACTAGTATATTTGTTACAAAATCCAATTAGTAAGTGTATGAAAATGCTAGTTATGTTCAAAATAATAGATAAAATATTAATGGTTTTTAAATAATAATAATATAACTGTATTTATAATATTTCAGAAGTTTTATATTTGTTAGCGAATATTATGCATAAAACAATTAATGCTTTAATAACAAAGTTTTAAATTATTCACTAAATTGATTTTAATTGCGAACGAAAATTTCTATGTGCAGTCTCACGAGATTTAAAAGTTTTGTCATTACATCATGTTCAAAGTCTGGATTTGTTATATAATTGTATTGAAGATTAGTTGATATTATTTAGAAATACTAAAAACTAAAGAGCCATTTCATTTGGGCAATTGATGAGTATACATACACACAAAAATCCAAAGAGATTTGTTTAACTATTTAAAAAGTAAATATTTTTATTTTTTTTTGCTCTTGAAATCACCTTCACTGACGAATTAAATTATATCTTATTAATAATATTAACTACATATAATTCATTCTTGCTCAATAATATCTGTGGAGAAGGATCATCACAGGGATTTTTGTTGTTGTTGTTTTTCTGGCCCTAAAGACCACTATATGACGTTAACAAGTTTAATGACTTTCAGTTTCACCTTCGTTGAAAATTTTGAAAAATTAAAGATTATTTTCTGATTAAAATGTCTTCCAGTGGTAGACTTCAGAATTTAATTAATAGTTACACAATTAAACTAATGATAATAATATTATTCAAAACCTATTAAATTTGTATATATGTGTGTGTATGTGTGTATTTTTTCAGCTTGTTTATTATTTTACCTGGGTTCTCTCTGGAAACATATAAACTTTGTCTACACTCTAGTATTACAACTTCGAACTATGAACCCTCTAGTGGCATACTTTAGAACTATCCATCTAGGCAACATTAAAAAAGATAAATTATAGTGCAAATTGTGGAACCTTTATGAATATAATACATATATATAACAGATCTTTAAGATCAAGCAAAATACTAGTTTTAGACATTTTGAAAAACAATAGCAATGAAAATATAGCTAATTATATGGATATGATTTAGAGGAAAAATATAAAAATAACGTAGAATTAAAAATATAGCTAATTATATGGACGTGATTTAGAGGAGAAAATATTTAATAAATAACGTAGAATTCTGAAAGACTTCTAGACTTTAAATAACAAACATATATTAAATATCTTTAGTTAGTATCGAACAAGAATTTTATTAAATAAGAGCAAAGCAGTATAATTATTTAAAGTTGTATTATGAAGGCGATGCAATAATTAAAAGTTTCCCTCACAATTCATTTTTAATTATTACAGAGCCTTCACAATCCAGTTTTGAATAATCACAGTGCCTTACAATCCAGTTTTAACGATTAAAATGCCTTAATCAGTAATAATTTAAAATAACATTGTAAAAACTCTAGTAATTAAAGAAAATTAATTTTATCTTTAAAATAGGGATAGTGAAGGAACTACAGTTATTTAAAATGGATTTTTTTTTTCCATTTAGCTCACTTTCTAAATTTCAGTGTCTGAAGATTCGTATTCGGTATTGGTTTTGTATTTCGAAACTCCTATGTGAACTTTAAATGTATTTCATTGCTTGAACTTTCTAGCAATCCAAATGCGTAGATTTACTTTCAGTAAGCTACGTTTCTAGCTAAGGGCTAGATTCCAACACGAGAGAAGTCAATTAAAACATGTAAACGTTTGAATATCTTAATTTAACAGATTATTCTATTACTACTAGATAACGCAGATTGGTTCGTCATATTCATTATATTTAATTTGCTTTAGTCGTTCGTAATCTTATAATAGTTGTAAACAATTAATGCTGTTTCATTTTGTATTTTTACCAAAATAAAATGTTACATTGCTTTACGAAGTCTAAGAGGGTCACGATTTCATAATAGATGGCGCTATCGAATATCTCAGTCTTCTTTGTCCAGTAGCAAATTTTACAAAATGAACACTGAGAAACAAACAACTGAAAAATATGATAACGATTATATAACTAAATCATAATTATCGTTTATTAATTTGCATAGTTTAAAACTCCAATTAAATATGCAAGGGTATACTTTATATTTAATGTTAGTATTGGAATCACAACACATTTAGTACTAGTGACACAACAAGGTGGTAGTAACTGACTGATGACACAACACACTGGAAGCATTGTTAAACAGACTAATGACACAACAAGGTGGTGGTAACTGACTGATGACACAACACACTGGAAGCATTGTTAAACAGACT